CCACAACCACATGCATCATCTGCTCCACAACAGCATTGGTTGGGTTCGCGTGTTTCCGTGGGGTGTAGTACACGTAGGCAACGCTGCAGATCACGCGCCGCAGGTCATTGTCATCTTTGCTTTTCAAAGCATCGACAGAAGAGTATGAGTTAACCGATGATCCCATATTAACACCTATCATATTGTTATCCACAAGGAGACGGTCCGGCATGTACGACCGGACTTTGTGGAGGCGGCGACGGAGTGTGTCACACACATCCGCCAGCTCCCGCACCTCGCGCAGCAAAACAGGGCGGTGCTGCGCCGCACCAACGGGGGCACCACTTAGCGCCATCTTCAGCTCTCTCTTTGTTGTGCGAAGCGGGCGAATCAGGCAGCACTCCACGAATGCAATGCACGCACCTGTCACCAGCACAAGAACAAGAACACCACCAGCAATACCAATGTCGCGGTACACGAAAACCGGACCAAAGTAGTAGCTGCGGGTTGTCACCACCACAAGCAGCATTGCGACCCCGCTCTCCGTGACAATATGCTCCGCGGTAATACGACCGTTGTATCCGCCATATGGGAAAACATCCTCTTCATTCTTACCGCTAATGAGGGCACGGCGAAGATCTATATTCCGGAGCCCCTCACGCATTATGGGGTCAGTAACATCATCAACGTACATGAACCGCATTGGTTCACCCCTTGCTGCAGACATCCATGGATTTGACACATTGGAAAGAGGCTGGGCCCAACTGTTAGCAAAGACAAGGAGCCGCTCAGCCGTTACATTGGGGTCCACTAGCATCACGCGAATTCCAGTTTCTGATGCGTTGTACCACTGCACACTTGTTAGCGTCTCTGTAGACATTGTCGCGTGCAAATAGCCTACGCCCGTAGTCTTGTCATCGTACACCTCAAAGAACGGGAACACAAAGGTGGCGTACATCGGTGGGTAGCGTGGTGTTACCCAGTATTGTGAAAGATTCATCACCTCACCGCTCGCAAGTGACTCATTCCATCGATTCACCACTGTATCGTGCCGGTTGTTAGCCGAGAACCTATCGACGCTCGTAGGACTAGGAAGAAAGTGCAAAGGCCGCAATGGCTGCTGGTATTCCAGAGTCACAGGATCAACGACGAATAGGTCATCAATGAGGCCGTTACGGCTCATTGTCCCTATGTATAGGTCCCTACGGCTTCGGGAGGCAACACAAATGGCTGCTTGTTTTCGCGTCACAGAAAAGGCTCCCAAGGCCGATATTGTTTTGTCAGGGTCCATGTCGCGGAGAACCGCACACAAACGTGACATCATGCCATTCTCCAGCGGCATCAGCTTGTCCGTTACGGGATTCGGGAAGGTGCTATTGGAGAAGTACATGCTGCCTGTTGAAGTCGCCATGCGCACCATCTTGGAGAGCGTTAGACGACCAGAGGCCACCTCCATATTCGCCACGATCAGACTATGCAGAGTAGTTAAGGCGCCTAGTGCACTTTCCCGGGACGCGGCATTTGCCAGTATCATCGTCACAATGCTAACCGCCACCAGGATCGCCACAAGGGGACACAACACCCAGCAGCGCAGAGAGAAACTGTATACTCGGCCACTGTGAGAGGAAGCATCCTTCAGGTGTGGCGAGTACACAGCAGGGGACGGCGGCACATCAAGGCGGGGCGACGGCTCGGGGGG